ACCTGTTTTTTTTGTGGGTGCTGTTCGTTTGGAAAAACATTTTCCACCTTTTTACTTTGAATCTAACTTTGCCTTTGCAGCTTAGATGTGTCTCCTGAAGGCAGCATGTGATCAGGTGTTATTTTAATCCAATTTGCTACTTTGTGCCTCTATTGGTGAATTCAGTCTATTTCATTTGGGGTAATTATTGATGTATGAAGATTTCCTATAGCCATTTTATCTTTTGTTTTTGGTAGCTCTTTGCCTCCATTGGTTCTTTTAATTCACGTTTCTTTTGTTTTTGTTTGGTGGTATTCCATATTTCTTCCTCTTTTTCCCCTTTTATTAAGTTATATGTCTTAGTTTTTGTGTGCGTGTTTAGTTACCCTTCACTTTATGAAAATTAAAGTTTCATGTATATACAGTAGTGCTTTTTCCTTTGAATGCATCTGATCTCTATCCTCCTTTGCACATTCAGACCTTTACCCGCCTCCCGTTTTGTGATTTTATTGTCACAAATTTTCTCTGTTTATGCTGTTAATTTGCTGGTGATCTTACTCTTAGTTTTGTTACCTTTTGGTCTTTATTTCAAGTAGAATAACCCCTTTGAGTATTTCCTGCAATGAACATCTTCTGGTTATGAGTTTCCTCAGCTTGTTTATGTCTGGAAAAGTCTTTCTTTCTCCTCCATAGTTAAAGGATATCTTTGCTCAATATATCATTCTTGGCTACTAATTTCTCTCTTTCAGTAGTTTGAATATTTGATTCCACTGTCTTCTGGCTTGTAGAGTTTCTGCTGAGAAGTCTGATGATAACGTAATGGGCTTTTCTTTATAAATTACTATCTCCTTTTTCCTGGCTGCCTTGAGAATTCTTTCTTTGTCATTAATTTTGACAGTTTTAATACAGTGTGCCTTGAAGAAGGTGTATTTTGGTTGAGGTAATTAGGTGTTATGTTTGCTACTTGGATTTGAGGATCTAGCTCTTTCCATAGGTTTTGGAAGTTCTTGTCAAATGTTGTTTTGAATCTACTCTTCATTTCTTTCTCTCTCTCTTTTTCTTTTAGTATACCTGTTCTTTTTCTTTTTTTTAATCCTCACCTGAGGATATGTTTTTATTGAGTTGAGAGAGAGAGAGAGAGAGAGAGAGAGAGAGAGAGAGAGAGAAACATCAATCATTTGCCTCCCATATGCCCCTCTCTCTCCACCTTCCAACCAGGGATTGAATCCACAACCTTTTTGGTGTCAGGAGGATGCTGCAACCAACTGATCCACCTGGCCATGGCCCTATTATTCTTATATTGCTTTTTCTGGTGGAGTCAGATTGTTTTTTTTGGAGTTCTTTCATGTTGTTGTTGTTTTTCTAAATGCTCAAGTTTCTCTCTTCCCTCTGTCATATCAAGATTTCTGTCTTCAATATCACTAATTATTTCTTCTGTCTGGTCAGCTCCATTTCCTATGCTCACTAGTTCATTCTTGATCTCTTTTATTGAGTTCTTCATTTCCAGAATTTCTATTTGGTTCTTTTCTAAAGTTTCAGTCTCTTTGCTGAAGTACTCATTTTGTTTGTTGATTTGGTTTCTGTGTTCATTAAACTGCCTGACTGTATTTTCTTGCATCTCAATTAGTTTTTTTCAGAACTGCAAACTCGAATTCTCTGACATTTATTTATTTATTTATCCTCACCCAAGGACTTTTTTTTTTTTTTTTTTTCATTTTTATTCAGTTAGAGTGAGAGGGAGAGAGAGAGAGAGAGAAACATCGATGTGAAAGGGACACATTGAGTGGCTGCCTCCAGCATGACCCCAACCAGGGCCAGGGACAAATTGCAACCAAGTTACATGCCCTTAGCGGGAACCGAACCTGGGTCTCTCTGAACCGCAGGCTGATGCTCTCACCACTGAGCCAAACCGGCCAAGGTGAATTCTCTGACATTTAAATCACCTATTTCCATGTCCTTAAGTTTATTTTATCCAGATTTTTAATTTTCTTTTCTGAACTTTCTCATTACCTTGGTTATTCATGGTATTGATGGCTTCCTTCTCTGTTTAGGCATCTATGTATGAGTGGCATCTCTCTGTGGTGGATTGATAAGAAGTCTTTCTATTGTTTTCTAGTAGGTCACGCTGAATCACAAGTTTTTAGTTCTCTTGCATTTCTCCAGCTTTTCAGATCTCTCTGCAGGGTGGTGGAAAATGGCCTGTGTTGCATGGAAAGGAGGGCATCTCCTATGTGTTCAGGTCACCTCAGTCTCAGTGAACCAACCCCGCAGGGGAATGTAGTAGGCGATGGGGCCCCAAATCTGTAAAATATTAATGCTGTCCCCCACATCCAGATGCTGCCCGGCAGTCTGCCGCAGTGTTTTGGGGGGTCAGGTCAGTTGAGGAAACCCGGCTGCCTCCTTTGTTGCTTTGCCCTTTCAGCAGTGGTGACCACTGGACCTCTGCAGTGCCCCCTTGTGCCTCCACCCATTGCTGGGATTAGACACAGAGTGCACCCTTCACTCAGGGGTGAAAAAAGTGTTTCTATATTACCATTTTTCAGGTTTGCAGATAATGTGCTTTGCAACCCGACACGAAAGGTAAGGGAAGGCAAGTTCTGAGGCTTTGTCTTTCTGTCTGGAATGCCGATTGACAGACCACCATGGCTGCGCCTCTGCTTCGTCCCTGCCCTGGACACTGGGCTCATCTGCACCTCTACTGCCCACTCCTGCAGAAATGCTAACCAGATTTCTTTGCTCCTTTCGGCTGAAGGGAGTGCCATTCACAGTCTGATTCCTCCTCTGTCCAGGCTGAGCCCCGTAGTGAGCTCCAGGCTGCAGGGCTATGTCCATGGCTCCTTTGAGCTCTTCTCCCTTCTTGTCACCCCCATTTGCTCCTACTTGCTCACCTTTAGATGTTTCAATGTGCATATCTCTCAGGCATGTTTGTATGTTAAGCAGGGAATCTTTTGTTGAATTATAGCTGTTCAAATTATTGAAACTCAAGGGGAGAAACCAAGGGGGTCTCTCATGCCACCATTCCTCAGATATCACAGGTTACCAATTTTGAAACTTTTATATCTAACATACTTCTAATGCTATAAATTTTCCTTTAGACACTGCTTTCACTGTATCCCACAAATTTTGATTGGTATTTTCATTTTAACTTTATTTACTATAATTAAAATTTCTTTTGAGACTTCTTTGACTTGTAGGTTATTTATAAATGTGTTGTTTAATTTTCAAGTTTTGGGGGGATTTTCCAGCTGTCACTTGCTTATTCATTTATATTTAATTCCCTTGTGGTCTGAACATGTTTTGCTATTGCTTTAAATTCATTAAGGTATGTTTTGTGGCCTAGACTATGTTCTATCTTGGTGATTGTTCCATGTGAGCTAGAATGGAATGATAGAATGTGTGTTTTATTGCTTTGGATGAAATCGTTAGATCATGTTGATAGTGTTGCTTAGGTCTTCTATACACTTACCTGATTTTCTTCCTGCTTAATCTCTCAATACTGAGAGAGGAGTGTTGAAGTCTCTAACTATGATTATAGGTTTGTCTGTTTCTGTTTTCAGTTCTGTCAGTTTTTGTTGTATGTATTTTGATATTCTTTTGTTAGATACATACATGTTTCAGATTGTCTCCTTTCTGTAGTATGATTTTCAACCCATCTAATAAGTTCTGTATTGTGTTTTGCAGCTCTAGAATGCCCTTTTTATGTATATATGTGTGTCTATGCACATGTGTGTATGTATACACATGTATCAGAGGTCCCTAGGGATTCCCAGGTTCAGTGACTCACTGAGATGACTCAGCATGTAGTTGTACTTATGGTTATGACTTATTAAAATAAAAGGATACAAAACACAGTCAGCAGAGGGAAAAGGCACATGAGGCCTAGACCAGAGGAAACCAGGCACAAGCTTCTAAGAGTCTTCTCCTAGAATACACTTAGTCCTCTAGCAGTGAGCTTTGACAACAAACGTGAAATGTCTTCTAGGGAAGCTCAATAGACACTGCTCACAGTTTTTATCAGGGGCTAGTCACATAGAGACTCTCTGCTTAGCACATGAAATTCCAGGCTCCAGAAGGATATACATGTACAACATAAACTGTATTATTAACACAAAGAGTTTAGGCTTAATGAGACATTCTTATCAGAGAATGGTGAGAACCCTCCTGAAATCCAAGTTCCCATATGCCAGCCAAAGGACACCCTTGTCACAGACCTTTCAAGAGCTAGCAGTTTCAGGCCTGCTCTGTTCTTTTCTGCACAACACACATACCATGTATCTGTTGAACTTCCCCCATCTTTCATTTATTTTGTTCATATTTTCATCTGTTTTATTGAATACATTATTTATAATTTATTTTGAAGTTATTGCTTATCAAGTCTAATTTTATTGTCAGTTTTTTCCTTGGTCTTTGTCTTTTCACAGAACATGAAATTTTTCATAGGATACCAAACATTGTATTTAACAACAACAAAAAATGGTAGAGGCTCCAGAAAATGATCTCTTTTAGCAGAGAGGGTTCATCTTTTTCTCTGGTGGGCAAGTAGAATGCAGGGCTTGTCACTTTAATCAGTCATGGATTGAGCTTGATCAGGGCCTGCACCATATTCATTTCAATCCTGCTGTTCACTGTAACAACTAAAAGTTTTACTTCCTCAGTAAAAGTCAGCAATATAAAAGAACTAACTTTTCCTTGGTAACCGCAATCTACTTTGTGCATACTTCCAGCTCCTATAATGTCTAATTTAATAAATGATAATGTATATGTCTCCTTATCAGGTCATAAGCACTTTGAGAACAGAAACTGTGTTTTCATCACTAGTTATTTGCAGCAGTTAGGACAGTTTCAGGGCCTTAGTGGAAACTCAGTTTGTACATATGTTATTTTATCCTGCATAGTCTAGCACAAAAGAAGACATCTTATATGATAATTTTAGTAAACTCTAAAGAGATTAGTTATTTCAGGTGTTTTTCTCATCATGTAGTTCTGACAGCTTCATATAGAAAAAGAATATACCGTTACAGGAACAAGTGTCATTCAAAGATGTGTGTGTGGACTTCACCCAGGAAGAGTGGTGTCTTCTGGATCCTGCTCAGAAGATACTATACAGAGACATGATGCTGGAAAACTACAGCCACCTTGTCTCAGTAGGTAAGAATTTTTTCCATGTGTCTACATTTCTTACTCGTTGAAACACGAACTTCCTGTAGAGTTTTCTGATCTGAAGCTTGAGATTTTGGCCACAATCAAGAATGCTGTGTTCTTAACCTCCTAAAGGATTGGTTCATTTGGATACCTCCTTTGAACAGCTCCTAAATCTGTACCTTTCTTCTCCATCATTTTTTCAGAGTCCTTAACACCAGGCTGTTTAGCCATAGTGCTGTATTATTTTCTCTTAACAGGGTATTGCATTAGTAAGCCAGAAGTGATCATCAAGATAGAGCAAGGAGACGAGCCCTGGATATTAAAGCAAAGATTCCCACGCCAGTGGCACCCAGGTGAGTTTATGAATTCACAAGCAGATGGAAGCCACAGCAAATGAGATCTTAAGCCATTGGTTTAGGGTTTAGCACCTTTCAAATATTTTTCAGATAGTTCTTTTTGTGGTCCCAGATCTTTAAAAGTGACTAAGGACAGTTGTCCCACATCCCTCCATTACCTTAATCACATTCCTCCGTGTGTCACTTTCACTCATGTGCTTTCCTTTGTTCTTTGACATTTTGAATGATTTACCTATACCATAACCCAAAGTCAGTTGGCATCATTTTAGATCATTTATATTAATTAGGGTATCTTTTAGAATTGTTCGCTTCCTTCTATTTGTCTTGTGTTAGCTGGTGTGTTGTCATGCAGTACTTCTATATATTAATTTTAACAGATATATGGTGAGCACTCACTATCATCCAGTTATGTGTTTTGGTAATATTTTTTCTTTTTCTTTATTGATTTTAGAGAGAGAGGAAGGGAGAGAGAGAGAAACATCAATGAGAAAGAATATTGATTGGCTGCCTCCTGCACGCCCATGCCCCCCACTGGGTATTTGACCCACACCCTGGGCATGTGCCCTGACCGGGAATTGAACCAGCGACCTCTTGTGGCATGGGTCGATGCTCAGCCACTGAGCCACACCAGCTGGGCTGTGTTTTGGTAATTAAAAGAGCACTGCCCTGCTATCATGTAGTGTACATTACAGTGAGGAACACAAAGCATACGTGTGTGTGTGTGTAGCTATATGTGCATGTATATACACACACAATGTTGTTGGGTGATGGTAAGTACTTTAGAGTTAAAGCAGAGGAAAGGGAGATGGAGAATGATGGCATGTACTATTTGGTTAAGAAAGTCAGGGAAAAACTTTATGATTAAGTCAATAGAGATGAGACTCTAATAAAGTGAAAGGATGAGTTATTTGGAAACATTAAGTGCTGAACTTCTCCAACAGATATATTCTTAGAGTGAAGAATGACAAAGAGGGCAATGTGGCTGGAGACCAGTGGGCATGGGGGAGATTGATAGAAGTTGATGTCATAAGAAATAGCATGGACCATGCCAGATACATTACTTTTATTTTGAGTGATGTGAGAAATCCTTTGTTTTTTGTACTTTTAGTAACTGTAAATCAAATTATGTCATCAAATCTGATTTATGTTTAAAGGGGTCTCTCTGACTTCTAGGCAGTGACTACACTGTGGTGGGTGGGTGGTACTTAGGCATGAACAAGGAAGGAACACCAATTAGGAGGCTATTATGTATTCCAGAGGAGAGAAGGTGATGGGTAAGGCTATGCTGGAGTGCTCAGAAATAGTAGATTTGTACAGATATATTAAAGAAGAGACTAAGAGGATTTGCTGTTGGATTGGACAAGAGCATGTGAGAGAAAGGACTCAAGAATGACTCAGTGGTTCTCAAGGAACTGGGTAAATTAGGGTGTCATTTACGGAGATAGAGAAAATTAGGAGAGATTATATGAGAGTTATTACAAATGTAAATTTGAACTCAAGAATCTTGAGATAACTTGAAATCCAGCCTCTGTATTGGAGGTAGAATATATACAAGTATGGAGTACAGAACTAGAAGTATCCATTTGAAAGGCATCAGTTTCAGGTGGTGATAAATGCAGGGGGATAGAGGAGATCTTCTAGAACAGATATTGGCAAATGTCATTACAAAAGACCTGAAGGTAAATATTTTAGGTTTAGTGACCACATGTGGTCTCAGCTGTTGCTGCTGCTCCTCTTCTTTTCACCTATTTCTCTTCATATTTATTCTCCTCCTTTTTCTTCCTCCTTTCCTCTTTATCCTTGCTACTTCCTACTGCCCCTTCTGCTTTTTCCCTCTAAAAAGATAAACATTCTTAGTTCTAGGAGCATTGCCTTGCAGTTATAGTTTGCATACTTCTTTTCTAGAGAGTGGTTGTTTGTGAGAAAAGTGGTCTTGGGACAATACACTTTTACAAGTAAATCCATTAAATCTCATCATTACAGGAGATTGAGAAGGAACAGTCTGAATGACATGAAAACCAGAGAGGTTGGTTTTGCAAGAGTCAAATAAGGGACAGTCTGCAATCTTTTTACTACCTTAAGTGGAAACTATGGATCATTGCACTAAACCTCTTACCACCTATTACTAGTCTATTCAGACTCCTGCTGTTGTTTTCCTTTCAAACCCACCTACTACATCTCTTCATTTTCTCATTTGTCACTTTTGCTACTTAAAACCAGAACTATGTGTCTGATTTTTCATTCCTGGCTTAAACCAACTCCTTAATGGTTTTTATTTTTAACCTAATCATCCAGTGTACTTTTACTACCCTGACAAAATTGCTTTTTTTTTTTAAATCTTTATTGTTGTATGTAGAATGTATTACAGATGTTCCTCATTTTTCCCCCATTGACCCTCTCCTCCCCACTCCCGCCTTTTCCCACACTATTGTCTGTGTCCATTGGTTATGCACATAAGTTCTTTGGTTTATTTCTTCCCACACCTCCAACCCCTTTCCCATTGAAGTTTGTCAGTCTAGCAATGAATTTGTACTTCTTAATCCCTTTACCTTTTTCACCCATTCCCCCATCCCCCCTCCCATCTGCCAACCAACAAAATGTTCTCTGTAATCTATGAGAATGTTTCTGTTCTACCTGTTCATTTTGTTTTTAGATTCCATTGCCGATAGATATGTATTCATTGCCATTTTGTTTGTTCATATATTTTATCTTTTTCTTCAAAAAGACCCTTCAGCATTTCATATAATAACAGTTTGGTGGTGATGAACTCCTTTAACTTTTTCTTGTCTGGGAAAGTCTTTATATGGCCATCAATTCTAAATGACAGCTTTGCAGGATAGAGTAATCTTGGTTGTAGGTTCTTGCCTTTCATCACTCTGAATATTTCTTGCCACACCCTTCTGGCCTGCAAAGTTTCTTTTGAGAAATCAGCTGACAGCCTTATGGGAACTCCCTTGTAGGTAACTAGCTGCCTTTCTCTTGCTGCTTTTAAGATTCTCTCTTTGTCTTGAACCTTTTGCATTTTGATGTTGATGTGTCTTGGTGTGGACCTCTTGGGGTTCATCTTATTTGGACTCTCTGTGCTTCCTGGACTTGTATGTCTGTTTTCTTCACCAAGTTAGGAAAGTTTTCTGCCATTATTGTTTCAAACAGGTTTTCAATTTCTTGTTCTCACTCTTCTCCTTCTGGCACCCCAAACATGTGAATGTTGGCACGCTTGCAGTTGTCCCAGAGGCTCATTACACTATCCTCATTTTTTTGGATTCTTTTTTCTTTTTGCTGTTCTGATTGGGCGTTTTTGCTTCCTTATATTCCAAATCGATGGTTTGCTTTTTGGATTTACGTACTCTACTATTGAATCTGTGTAAATATTCTTTATTTCAGTTAATGCCTCCTTCATTTCTGATTGTGCATCCATCATTTCTGACTGGTCCTTTATTATGCTCTTGAGGCCCTTAGTAAGTTCACTGAGGTTCTCACTAAGTTCATTGAGCATCCTTATAAGCAGAATTTTGAACTCAGCATCTGTTAGGTTGCTTATCTCCATTTCGCTTAGTTCTTTTCTTGGGGTTTTGTTCTGTTCTTTCATTTGGGACCTGTTTCTTTGTCTCCTCATTTTGGCTGCCTCTCTGTGTTTGTTTCAGTGTATTACTTAACGAGAGGTATGGGGCTAGCTGAGACCAGATGCTGCTTGTTTGAAAGAATTTAGGGAAAACCTGAAGCAAGATCCAAGACAGGCCAATCCTATGGTTAAGCAAGTGGCAGCAGCTTGGGTGGGCCTGAAAGTTGGGTGGGGCAGGGCCTCAGGGAGTCACCAGGGTGGGGCTACCAGTGTGAGCCAGGTTGCTGGAGTCCCAGATATGGCAACTGTCTGCTGCCCCAGGGAAAGGCTCAGGAAAGGAACAAAGGCCTCTGACAGCATGTCTGTCTCAGAGAAAGCCCCCTCTCCAGCCCTTGCTCCAGTGCCAAACAGCTCAGTTCTTCCCTGTATGTCTCTGGTGCCCCTCTAGCTGCCTCCCCTCCAAGCTTAGAGGGAGAGAGTCTGATAAGTCCGTGCGCGGGCCCTTTAAGGAGCTGCCTGGGGCTCCAGCTGCTTCAGCTTCCCTGAGCCTCAGTTCCTGCTGGTTTTTCCAGCCAGAATTATGGGGACTTCTCTTCCTGGCACTGGAACCCTGAGCGGAGCACCTGGTGTGGGACAAGGACCCCTCAGTCCTCAGGAAGGACCTTCCCAGCCGAGGTGTCCTCCTGATTTTTATCCGCCACACATGGGTGTGGGACCAGCCCGTCGTGCCTCCGCCTCTCCTACCAGTCTCGATGTGGCTGCTGTTTTAATTCCGTAGTTGTCGGACTTCCATTCAGCTTGATTTCAGGCAGTTTTGAATGACGGTTGTTCTGTAGTTTAGTTGTAACTTAGTTCTGTTTTGTCTGGTGTAAGTATTGCTACCCCAGCTTTTTGTTAGTTTCTATTTTCATGAAATATTTTTTTCCATCCCTTTACTTTCAATCTCTGTGTGTCTTTCAATTTGAAGTGTCTCTTGTAGATGGTATATGTAAGGGTCTGTTTTTGTTATCCATTCAGCTTCATTAGGTCTTTTGATTGGAGCATTTAATTCATTTGAATTTAAAGTAGTTGTTGATAGGTTGTGCATTTATTACCATTTTATTATTCATATCATTTTCTTCTTCTTAAAGAAGACCCTTTAACATTTTTTGGTTAAATATACTGGTTTGGTGGTGATGAACTTCTTTAGTCTTTCCTCGTCTTCTTTATCTGTCCTTCAATTCTAAATGATAGCTTTGCTGGGTAGAGTAATCTTGGTTGTAGGTCCTTACTTTTTATCACTTTGAATATTTCTTTCCTCTCCGTTCTGGCCCTAAAGTTTCTATTGAGAAATCAGCTGACAGTCTTTTGGGATCTCCCTTGTAGAAAACTAACTGCTTTTCTTTAGCTGCTTTTCAGAATCTCTCTTTTTCTTTAAACTCTGGTGTTTTAATTATGGTGTGTCTTGGTGTAGGCCTCTTTGGGTTCATCTTGTTTGGGACTCTCTGTGCTTCCTGGACTTGTATGTCTATTTTCTTCACCAGATTGGGGAAGTTTTCCGTCATTATTTTTCACAAGGTTTTCAATTTCTTGCTCTCTCTTCTTCTGGTACCCACATGGTGCGATTGTTCGTACATTGAAGTTGTCCCAAAGGCTCCTTGTACTATCTTTTTTATTTTTTTTATTTTTGCTGTTCTAATTGGGTGTTTCCTGCTTCCTTATCTTCCAGATCTCTGATTTGATCCTTTGCTTCATCTATTCTACTGTTGATTCTTTATAATGTATTCTTCATTTCAGTTAGTGTATTCTTTATTTCTGACTGGTTTCTTTTTTGTTTTCTAGTTCCATTTGTATGTATTCTATCTCAGTTCATCCACTCTTCCCCTACATTCATTGAGCATCCTTATAAACCATTGTCTTGAACTCTGTATCTAACAGGGGTGGGGAACCTTTTTTCTGCCAAGGGACATTTGGATATTTATATAATTTGCAAGCCATACATAATTATCAACTTAAAAATTACCCTGCCATATTTGGTCAGGCTAATTTGGTGAGATATGTGATGTTAACTGGTGTTGATTTAGTGGGTGTCATATGGCCTATGGGCCAGACATTCCCCACCCCTGACTAGATTGCTTGTTTCCATTTATTTAATTCTTTTTCTGGAGTTTTATTATGTTCTTTCATTTGGGATATGTTTCTTTCTCTCATCATTTTGGTTGCCTCCCTGTGTTTGTTTCTGTATGTTAGGTAGAGCTGCTACATCTCTTGGGCTTGTAGAGTGGCCTTACGTAGTAGGTATCCTGTAGGGCCCAGTAGCACAGCCTCCCTGATTACTGGAGCTGGACATTCCAGGTGTGTGCCCCACCCTGTGTGTGCTGTATACACCTTCCTGTTGTAGTTGAGCCTTGATTGCTATTGACCCTTCAGCTGGAGATTGGCTTCAAGGACCAGTTCCGACTACCATGGAGGATCGACTCTGACCCACAGAGGAAGACTTACTTCAGCAAGGCTCTGTGCCTCCTGAATTCCACCCTAGGATGTGTCCCTTATGGAAGAGGTGGTGTGGTGCTTTGATGTGGTCTGAAGCTATCCACTGGGTGCGCTGGCTCCTGGGGCCTCTCGGGTGGTGCTGGCCAAAGTCAGCTGCCACCTGTGCCTTGCCAGGGGCTACACAACATGAGCTACACAGAGATCTGCAGATGGCTGTTACTTGTGCTGTCTTGGAGGTGCCCAAGAGAGGCCAAGGTGGAAGGCCAGATACTGCTTCTTTGAGAATTTTAGGGAAGTCTGAGCATGAGCCAAGAGAGGCTATTTATATAGAAAAGCTACTGGAAACTAACAACTTGGGTTGGGTCCACAAGTTGGGTGGGGCAGGGTCTCGGGGAATCACCTGGGTGGAGCTAACAGTGTTAGCCAGATTGATGGAGACTCAGATATGCTGCCTGCCTGCAGTTTGTGGGGGTGGTCCCAGGAAAGGAACAAAGGCCTCTGCCAGCACTTCTCTCTGGGAAAAAGCTGCCCCTCCAGCTCTTGCCCAATGCCAGATAACTTAATTTCTCCCCATATGTCCCTGGTGCCCAGCATGGGAACTCAAGAGTGAGAGAGTCCAAGTAAGTCTATGTGCAGGCCCTTTAAGAGGAACACCTGGGACTCCAGTAGCATCCACCTCACTCAGCCGTAATTCAAACTGGGTTTTACTACCAGAATTTATGGGGACTTGTCTTCCTGGTACTGGAATTCTGGGCTAGGACACCTTGCTCCTCGGGGGAACCTCTGCATCCATGATACCACTCCTTTTTTACCCACTACACGTGGGTGTGGAACCAACCGGTTCCATATCTCTGCCCCTCCTATCATTCTCAGTGTGGCTTCTTTATATCCTTAAACTGGTATTGATTTGGGTTTAGGTTTTCTATTCAGCTAGATTTCAGGAGGTTCTGTATGATGATTGTTCTCTAGTTAAAACTTTAATGTGGTTGTCAGAGGAATTGAGTACCGCATTAACCTCTGCTGCTATCTTGACTGGAACCCCTTAAATGCTTTCTCTTTTATCTATAACTTTCAATCTGTTCAGTTTTCCTTTTCAGATACTTAGATTAATTAATATTGCACATATAAAGTATTTACACATTGCATGGTACACAGTAATGGCTATTGTTATTGTCTCACTTATTTTAAGTTAGAGCTCAATATTTTTTGCTGTAACTTAATATTCCTATTTGATGACCCTAACCCACTAGTGGCTATATCACCCAAAACTTAGACCTGATCATATGTCTGTTGCTGAGGGTTTCTTTCCTATTTCCTAAACAGAAGGCCCTTTCTTACTTTTCCTAATTCTGGTCTTTTAATAATTATTTTGTTGATTAACTATGGAGTCAAGTTTAGAAGAGGTCCTTCTTTTTCATCCATTCAGAAAGCATTCTGTAGTACTTTGACAAAATGCACATTCCTATATTGTCTTTGTGTATTATAGCTCATGAAGTATAGATTGGGAATAATTCATATGCATATTGCTTTTTAAGAATTATTAAGATTCTGTCTCCTCAATGAAGTTAGAGGAAATAGGATTTTGTTAACACCTGCCAAGACCCAGCCTTGTGGTCATGATACAAGGTGTGGCACTGACCAAGAGATTTTACATTACAGTGAATTATACAGACAGTAACTTCTAAAGGCAGCAGATGGAGACTGAAAATGATAGGGATGCTATAGGATTTGTTGATTTTGTTCTTTTATTTTATTTTTGTCATTTGTTGTTTTAAATGAAAGAAAGTAGCATTTCCTGAAGGATGTCCAAGTTCCAAGGATAGTCAGGGTGGAGTACAGCTAGTTAAGTGAAAGATGTGTTGTTGGGAATGAGCAATTTATAAGAGACCCAGATATTTTTAATGGATTTGTAGAATGGTGGCTTGAGCACTATATGTGAATCCAGTTGGTGTAAAGTTAGTTTTTTTTGTTTTGATTTGTTTTTGCCAGGATAATAACTATCATCTGTGGTCCTTGAAGCAATTGGGCTCAGGACTGTCATAGATTTTTTTTAACATGTTTTTTGTTGTTTTAACATTGTTGTATTAAGTAGCAACAATGAAATGTAGCCCCAAATTTTAAGATAGTGTCTACTTAAGGTATCAGAACCATATAGAGAAATGTGATCTTTATGAATATTACAGGTAAGTAAAATTCACAGATGAAGCTAGGTGTGAAAGCTGAAAACCTCAATATAAAAGATAAACCTAGAAATAAAGGCATACTTAAAAATCAACATTGCCTCAGAAACAGAATTATTTTGGGGAGAAGCCTGCCAGTTGAGGTAAAGAAACATATGACTTGATGATTGGGACAATTTCATTAACAGCTGTGAGAAAACAGAATGAACCTGATCCTTTTGCAGAGATGTCCTATTTCTCATCTGTGTCGTATACCCTGTTGAACATTTATAGTGTGGTGAATCACAGCTAGACAGAGAGTTGTAGTCTGGGGTAAAACAGTGTTCCTTAATACATGAGGAAATAGATGCTTTCAGAAATGTATTTTGATGTTGACATAAAACAGGGAGAGAAAGGAATGGCAACAAGCATATTAGTGAGGATCTTACCACAGTAACAAGCTGTGAGAAGGTAAGGACATAAACCATGATCTGTCTCTGCCAAACCAGATTCTCTCTCTAATATGTTTTCTGGTGTGTTTTCCTTAACAAATACAAAACTTCCCTTAAGAACTCATCCAGTTCTGAGTTTCTTGCTTTCTAAGTGAACATTTCTCAGAAAATCGCTACTGTTTGCTCACCATGTCTTCAGTTCATTTCACCTTTTCTAACTTGCCTCTCTTAAAGCATTTTTAAAGATAAATGATTTTTTTGTGACTTATATTAAAGAAAAATCTAGATCCTGGGTCATAGGACTATTCTTTTGGACCCAAGGAAGTTGATATCTTCAGAACTTTAGTTTGGTGTTGATGTGTAGAGCAGAGGCATGTACTCCAGTAGGAATCCTCCCCGGAACAGTCGTCCCTCGTTTATCGCGGTTAATCCGTTTCAGACTCTAGCGGTTGCACCTGGCGTAGAAGGATTCCTGGGGCGCTCGAATACATAGGCCTACAGTCCATATTTACAGTAATTTTAATTTTAATTGTAATACAGGGGCATATAATTGACTCAGACAACCGAGCATGTTCTGTATCATTTTCACTGTCTTAATCAACTTTGTAATCTGTATATGAGGAGACTAGGACTGAACTGTTCTCCCTCTACCTACAGGGTTCATCCTCTGAATGCCCTTGTCTGCTAATCTTCACTGTCACTTTATTCAGTGTTTAATGTCTCTTTTGGGCTCACCCCATTCTCTGAATGTCTCTGTTCCTGAATCAGCCAGTCCCTAGTTCTTTGTGCTTTGAATTTTATTTCCTTTTTTGTCTAGTTTTGAAGATTATATTTATAAAGTGTTAAATGTCATTGCCAGTTTCCTTTCCCTGCTTCCACTGCAGCATGTTATTTTCTGCTCAAACCAGAAAGGTAATGGAAATGCATATTTGGATTTAGTTCATACCAGTAAAGTGGGTCTAAGAGTAAGGATTTACTGTATAATAGCTTATTTGTATAAACATCCAATTCCATGAGAAATGTACTGAGATTCATAAAATGTGGTTATTTCTTTCATTTCTAGAAGACTGGAAAGTTGATGACCTAATAGAGAACAGCCAAGAATATCAAGATGAGCACTTTTGGCAATATGCTCTCAGCACCAATAAAGCATTAAGTATAAATGATGGTAACAGAGTAAGGAAAACTTTTGATCTGGGTACAGACTGTGTTCCTTCAAGAAATTTTTCATATAAGATATGTGCCTCGTGTGAAATGAGTTTGAAGAATATTTCAGGCTTAATTATTAGTAGAAAGAACTATTCTGGAACAAAGCCTGATAAGTTTAATTTATATGAGAAATTGCTCCTTGATATTAGACATGAGAAAATGCCTACTGGAGGGAAATCCTATAACTATAATCAAAAAAGGAATATCCTCAGCCATGGTCAGGATCTCACTCAGCCAATTTTCGACCAGCCTTTTGAGTATAATGAAAATGGACACGGCTTCCAAGAGGAGGCAGCCTTTTTCTCAAACAAGAGAGCTCAGATCGGAGAGACACTCTGTAAATATAATGAATGTCAGAGAACTTTCAGCCAAAGTGTAAAGCTCAGTTTATCTCAGAGAACTCGTTTGGAAAGGGAGCCATATGAATGCAGTATTTGTGGGAATTCCTTTTATATGGATTTAAGATTGGGACATCAGAGAGCTCTTACAGGGGAGAATCCCTATGAGTATAATGCATATGGGCAAATTTTCTGTGACAATTCAACTTTCATTATTCATCCGAGTACTTATGCGGGAAAGATTCCCCATGAATATAAAATAAGTCACAAAACGGGGAGGAAATCATCCCTCTTTAAACATCAGATAGTACATATGGGGGGAATACCTTATGAGCACAAGGAAAATGGAAATAATTTCAACAACAAGTCACACCTCACCCAACCTCGAAGAGCTCACTCAGGAGAAAAAAACTTCGAATGTGCTGATTGTGGGAAAACATTCTGGGAAAAGTCAAACCTCACTCAACATCAGAGAACACACACAGGAGAGAAACCCTATGAATGTGCTGAATGTGGGAAATCCTTTTGTCAGAAACCACACCTTACCAACCATCAACGAACACATACAGGAGAAAAGCCTTATGAATGTAAGCAATGTGGAAAAACATTCTGTGTGAAGTCAAATCTCACTGAACATCACAGAACACACACAGGAGAGAAACCCTATGAATGTAATGCATGTGGAAAGTCCTTCTGCCACAGGTCAGCACTAACTGTACATCAGAGAACGCACACAGGAGAGAAACCTTTCATATGTAATGAATGTGGGAAATCCTTCTGTGTGAAGTCAAACCTCATTGTGCATCAAAGAACTCACACAGGGGAGAAACCATATAAATGTAATGAGTGTGGGAAAACCTTTTGTGAGAAATCAGCTCTTACTAAGCATAATAGAACTCACACAGGGGAGAAACCCTATGAGTGTAATGGATGTGGGAAAACCTTTAGTCAGAGGTCAGTACTCACTAAACATCAGAGAATTCACACAAGGGTGAAAGCTCTTTCAACATCCTGAATATTCAGAAACCTTCATCCACCCTTTCAAATTTGTTATTCAGTTTTTAAAAATAAGATTAAACCCAAAGAATGTTACAAATTACTTCAAAGTTACATCTTATTGTACTTCAGATAATTAATATTTGAATAAAACCTTATAAATGCTTTAAATATGTGGAAGCTTTTAAGAAAATAATTTTGTCAGAAAATTTGTACTGAGGGGAAATTTAAGTAATATTGTAAAACTTCATAAATAGAATTTATGTTGACCAGTGTCATGGTCCAAATGTGATACCAAAATTTTATTGTAAATATAATGGGGTGATAGTTATACTGATATTCACAATGTAATCTGAATCTTAAAAAATGTCGAATGACAATAGCATTAAATGTTTATATGAAGAGTCCCTAATGTGTGCAGGCCTTATGTAAGTATTTTAATAAAACAGAAATTTGAGGTATGCTTGATTTGTATACTAGAGCCCAACATGCTTGTGAAGAGAAAGGATGAACACTTAGTTAAACAACTGTTGTGGTCTATATAATACTTCCCACACTAAATGTCACCAGTATCTTTGTAGGTTGACACATTTACAAATGTACCTGTAAATATATTTATATTCATATATAGTGGTGTGCTAGAGTAAGTTCATACTGGCTTGGAAGTACCGCTGATTGTTAAATTTTCAGGAATTTTATGAGCCAGTTGTTAAATACAGTCATTATTAAATCAAATTTTATACAGTTACAATTATATTTAAAACAAAGGTAATAAACACTCAATACGTCCTAATTATTTTATAACATTTTGCTATTTGTTCTTTAGGTTACTTTTATTATTGAGTCTGCATGGAGAAAATACTGTATAATGAATGGTGTGCTACTGCACATCTTCCAGCTCTACATTCAGTGCTGTCACATTGGTAACTTGGATTTAGTGGGAGTATTTACACCATGGAAATTGGCAAAGTCTACAAATTAGGGTTATTTTCTCAGAGAACCTATTGTCCAATATTTACCAGCACACCACTATGGATATAAGAAAATATATTTGGAAAAGTTAAAGTGAAAACCACATGCCCTTTCTCCTATTTTTTGACAAATACATGGCTGTGGTCATTATTGCTGAACTGCCTCTTCAATAAAGACAACATATGTTTCTTCTGTGAGGTTTTTAAATACCTCAGCATAATTTCTATTCTCAATACTAACTGTGTCTCTTTAGAGTATGGCTAGTATATGTTATTTTACAGCCACTCATCTACCTTTACCCTGACTTTTTTTGGCATTTATGAATGAGTACAGCCATTGCTGCTCAACTATTAAATCTATTAAAAAGCCAAACATTTTTTTTCTCTGTTTTTAAAGCTGCCTCTTGGTCAGTCAATACTGTAAATGCTGTGAATAATAATACTTACATAAATTCCATGAAGATTAACATCAGTTATAACAGTAATACTGCACTGTACAGATAAAAAAATAGTGGTAATGAAATGCCTCTTTCATACTCTTGGTATTTTGCTGTATCTATGTAGGCATGCTATATGTAACCTGAGCTGTATGTAAACCAGGAACTATGTATTTGTATTTTATATAATAGAGTGTCATATACTGTCTCTTTAGCCTTTGTCCTACTGTTTGCTATGCCTCCTTGCAACATATTAGCAGTTCCAAGGAACTCCACTTTTTTTTTTTCTGCCTTGCTGAAGCAAGGCCACCAAAAATTTTTTGGTTGCCTCCCACATGAAAAAAATGGGAGTGGGAGAGAACACTGGGACTCTACTTCTTTTTTGCTGGGCTCTGATTTGTCTTTGTTCATCCTTCCCCCCGATGATATAAGGGTAAATCCAGGTTAGTCTGAATTAATCATGGATGTGTTAATGATTTTGTTGGGTGGACATGTGAACAGTGAGATGTTTGAAAAATATTCTGCAGTGCTTCTGGGAAAAATCTCAGCAATAAAATATTGTCATGATGTAAGAAGACAAAAGAAAGATTATCTCTCTTTTAATGGACTTTTTCATGTTTGTATGTTATATCAAATTATAGTTTATGGCCCTAAAGGGCAGTAGCCTGAAGATAACATTACACAAGGAGATAAAACCCTGGTTTGGAGGTGACATCATTGGGATGTGCAACTCTATCTGGACCTGCTCTCCATGAGGACCTTATATTACTGTGAGGATAAAGGTTTCTTTTTTATTCTTAGGGCTGTTACTTATAGCTAAAGGTATTGCCCCTAATAGAGAAGAATTTGGGGAAGAATTATTTCTTTTGACTAATCAATATAGGGATGGGTCTTGTCTCAGCCGTGGTTCTAGTAAAAAACAGAATTCTAGACTTTAATGGCAGAATTACAGTGGTGTGGGCCAGAAATGAGGGCTATTGAAGCACCTAGAGACTAGCATCAACAGGAAGCCATTACCATTGTAAATCCTAAAGGGGCAAAGGATGAAAACTATTGTTTCAAAGGAGGGGCCACCATGTAGGAGATAATTATCACTACCAGAATTGTGACACCAAATTGCTAGCGCCTCCCTTTGGAGAACCCAAGCAGATGCCATCTGGCCAAGTGGGCACAGAGAAGATCTTAGTGGAGCTAATGGAGAATAAGCCGCACAGTGTTTTTAAATTCCTGTAACTTCCTTTGTAGAGGCTCAGTATTAGAAATTTATTCTACTAGTTGAAAGTTGTGTTTTTGCTTTGTTGTGTTTTTTTGTCATAAATAAATTTCTTTTGGAACTGAGAAAAGTGGCAGGTGTGTCTCTCCTTTAACACACGTGAAGCAGATATGTGTAATTGCATTATTAATATATCCATCTGTGATGTTTCTTTTTATTTAAAAATTTTTAAAAATATGTTTTTATTGATTTTTTTTAGAGAGAAACATCAATGTGAGAGAGAAACATCGACTGGCTGTCTCCTGCACAACCTCTACTGGGGTTCAACCCCAAAACCCAGGCTTATGTCTTGACCAGGAATCAAACTGGGACCTCACTCAATAGGATGACGCTCAGTCCACTGAGCCACACCAGCCAGGCTGTGGTGTTTCTTGTTACATGTAGTGTGAGGTAAGCAGCTCTCTAGTTTTCCAAATAAATATCCAGTTGTCCCTGCACTGTTTGATTAATTTGCCCTTTTTCTTATTGGCTTGATATGGCATACTTAATACAACTTTGCAGGACATTTGGACCTGTCTAAAACATCCACTGAGACATGGTCCTGTCCAAAATGTCTTTAGTATTTATTTGGCCCTGTACAAAACATCTATGGAGACATTTGGCCCATGATTTATTAAATAATATTATTTAACTTAAATTTTTATTTGTTATTTTTGTAATTTATGATGAATTTTGGATTTCACAATTATTTTTGTTTTTCCTCATGAACAATTGCTGTCAAGAATATATCAACCTGATTATGGGCTTTATATTTGTTAGATCTGTTAACAATTTTGGTTATACAAATTTGATTTTGTTGATAGCATTGTGAATTGGTACTGTATTTGAGTGTGACTACCAAGAGCCTGGGTGATATCTTGATTGCTTTGCTGTTTATCTTTAAATGCATTGAAGGATGATACACTACCATCAGCTTTGAAATTTGCTATGCCTGTCTTCCTGTGTTGTTAGTCCCATGATGGGCCTTCAGTACTCATCTGTATGAATTCCAAGTTTCTGATGGAAATCTTGAAGCTTCTGGTCTACTCCTCTGCCACATCTTCCACAGACATACCCTCAACATAGTCTATTAGGATCATCTAAATTTTTTTTCTGCATTCTCCACAGCGTACTTAATTTTATTTGTATCTTGCAAAGGCACCAGTGGAAGTCCAGACAACATGGATACAGTTATGGGAGTTTTCACTGACATTTACTTGTGTGTTAGACCCCAAAAAGATGTTCACTACAGTGGTTATGAAACCAGTATCCTTTTACTTGTACATTTGCATTTGGTAGTAGATCACATTTACATTTGCAATTATGAAATCTGTCATGCTCAATGAAGGGTTAGTGCGATTTCTTTCCTGTGCAAATATATCTGCAAGTGACTTCTTATCTTTGTTAGGACATGAATCAATGGCATAGTGTGAACCAGTCTTACAGCACACACAGGAAATAACGGTGTTGATGCTGTCTGGAAGGTGCCATCATTGAATAATGTACTGGTGCATAAATATTGAATATTGTCTAAAATTGTGTAAATAAGAATTCTTTCATCATTTTGAGCACCAGAATTGTGCATAAGTAGTGGGTCTCATCCTGGCCAGTTTGGCTAAGTGGTTAGAGCATTAGCCCATGGACCAGAGAGTCCCATGTTTAGTTCCTGCTAAGGGCACGTACCTTGGTTGCAGTTTGTCCCCACCCCAGTTGGGGTCGTGTGGGTGGTGACCAGTTGATGTGTCTCTCTCACATCAGTGTCTCTCTCTCTTACCCCCTCTCTCCCTCCTGCTCTATCTGAAGGTAAATGCAAATATATATATATATATATTTGGTTCTCTGGGTCTGGTCACTTTATATTTTTCTGTTTCAATTTCATGCAATGAAGTTGGATTTGGGAGTCGATGTCTGTTTTGATTTTTTTTTTTTTTTAGAGAGAGAAACATCGATGTGAGAGAGACACATCGACTGGTGGCCACCCACACAACCCCAACCAGGGCCAGGGCCAAAGTGCAACCGAGGTACGTGCCCTTAGCGGGAACCAAACCCGGGACTCTGGTCCACGGGCCAGTGCTCTAACTGCTGAGCAAAACCGGCCAGGGCAATTTTTTTTTTTTAAATCCTCACCTGAGGGTATTTTTCCATTTATCTTCAGATAGAGTGGGAGGAAGAGAGAGAGAGAGAGAAACATCAATGAGAGAGAGACACATCGACTGGTTGCCTCCCACATGACCCTGAACAGGGCCAGGGACTGAACTGCAACCTAGGTACGTGCCCTTGACCGGAATCGAACCTGAGACTTCTTGGTCCATGGGCTGATGCTGTACCATTGGTTCTCAACCTTCCTAATGCCACGACCCTTTAATACAGTTCCTCATGTTGTGGTGACCCCCAACCATAAAATTACTTTTGTTGCTACTTCATAAGTGTAATTTTGCTACTGTTACATCTTAGGCGACCCCTGTGAAAGGGTGATTCTACTCCCAAAAGGGTTTTGACCCACAGGTTGAGAACTGCTGCGAGTCAAACCGGCCAGGGCTGTTTTGAATTTACTTGCCTTTTTAATGAGCTTCTTTCTGGTAGCATTAACAGGATCTTTTTATCATGAATATCATGGAGAATTCTTCATAGTACCTGTGATGGTGTTATATTTGGTTCTTCTGTGTGTTTTAACTTTTTCAGGGTTTTCCTTACTTCGCCTTCAATACCAGCTTTCTGCTGATGTTTTTCTTTCCCATTGTGAATGTTATCTAAATCCTGATTGACTTGTTGTTCCTTGGGCATTGCAGACTCTTACCTTTGCAGCAGCAGTACTTTTTACAACTAACTATCTTTGTTAAAGGAATGGAAATGGCAACAAAAACCATTATAATGTAGCACTGGCTTTTCTTTATGTGAGTATAATATTTCTACCATATTGTATGGAGAATTTTCAAATAAAGATGCTATACTGCCAAGCAAAAAAAGATTTTTCTGTTCTTTTCTAGCTGGCCAGTGATTGCTGGTTTATTGGTAGGGGAAATCTAACTAATGTCTTAATGGATTTAACACCTGGTTTGGCCCCTCTGGATCAGTCAGTATGTAGGCAGCAGGCAAGGGCATGGTGATCCATGCTATTCGTAAGTGTGGGAGTCACACGTACTGAAACCTCTCCAAATAGCGCAGACTCTTGCAGTCTGGTGCAGTAATACCTTTGTAGGACATTAATTCAAGGGAAGCATCAGACATTAATGCTGGGCAGTGGGATAGCTGTAGGGGGGTTAATTGGATGTCCAGTATTATCCCCATGACAGCTATTATACCTGACTGCCCTGTGGTAGGAGAGCCACACCCATTTTCCGTCCTGAACAAGCTAGATGCTCCTTTGGGCTAAGCTCCTCCTTTTTACACTCTGCAGTTATTGAACAACATAGCCATACCCAAGCAAATGCCCAGTGACATATTAATGGCTCCATGCATCACGAGATCCTTTCCATGACTTGTCATCGTCTATGCATTTCTCTAATTGTAAGATTCTTCCTCAGTACATATAGCTAATTCAGACCCCACTCTTATGCACAGTTTGAACCCCGACCTATCTACCCGAACTTTACCAGCTTGTATACTGATCTAAGAGGGTTATTATTGGGAATACAGCCATAACACAGTTACTGGACCAAAAAAATAATATTTTTTATGAATTAATCATGTAAACAAAAAGTATAAACAAACATTATGGGCTGTTGGAACCCAGAGATGTTTTCTAAATGTGAACTATTTTTACAAGTCCAAATTTCCAGGACCTTTTGGCATAGGCCAAATATGCTCATGGAATGTTTTTGATGGGACAAATTTCAAGACCTTTCAGTGTAGACCAAATGTCTCCATAGACATTAGAGACTGAACCGGATTTCAAAGAACTTTGCACATGGACCAAATGTCTCAATGGACATTCTGGACAGGACCAAATGTCCACTAATTTTATCATGTACTTAAATATGTAGTGGCTATTGCTTTTGTCTGCTCAATGCAACTTTTCTGTGTTCTAGGAATGTGTCCAATCCTTGTGAGCAAATCCTGGTCTCAAATTTGTATTGATCTAGAACTGGTCTTTTGTTATAAAATAGATCAATAACACAACTTAGAATATTTGTTATTGAGAAGTCACCATGACTGTGTAGCTTTTGTCCTTGTCTCCACCAGCAGCCATATCAGGAAAATACATGTATAAAGGAGAAGTGCTATAAAGGAAAGTAAATATAGAAAAAGTTGTCTAAAGGATGGTTTGATTTTATTCTTTTTTTTTTTATCCTCACCCAAGGATATTTTTCTATTTTTCTTTAGATAGAGTGGGAGGGAGAGAGAAACATCAATGTGAGAGAGACATTGACTAGTTGCCTCCTGCAGGATCCTGAACAGGGCTAAGACTGAATCACAACTGACGTACGTGCCGTTGACCAGAATCAAACCCGCAACTCTTTGGTCTGTGGGCCAACACTCTAACTACTGAGCCAAATGAGCCAGGGCAAGGATGGTTTGAGTTTTAAACAGCATGGAAAGGAAAAGACTTCACTGGGAAGGCTACAGTGGAGATTGAGCCATTTGGATATCTGGAGGAAATATGTGTGTGCAATACATATGCATGTGTCATAAGCAATTTTATATATGTGTGATTTTGTTTCATGAAACAACATCCAGATTTACTCTTGGAGAGACTGTATGGCTGTTGGGCAAGGGCCATTATTTCCTTGTGCACCTGAGTAATGCCACCATTCTAGTGTTGGACCAGCCCCCACCTCCCCAAGGCATCGGCCTGGGGAGTGGCACTAGCCCCTCCCTGCCATCCCCTTAGGTGGACAGGTCTGTCTTGTCCTCCAGCCTGAGTCCACAGTGCAGACTTTATTGAGGAGCTCTCAATAAAGTTCAGGAAGGCTTGTAGAGTGCCAGAGACGCACGCAGATACTGAGTTCTGTGGCTTTTGGAAGAGACATTTCTTCCCAGTGTTTCTGAATGGTACAGCCATTCTTGTGTTGGATCCTTCCCCATCCCCCCAACACATCAGCCTGGGCAGAGGCACTAGCTCCACCACAAAGATCCAGAGTCCCCAAACAGGTAACGGCTAGCCTTGGTGTACCCTGAACATTGGGAGGAGTGACCTCAGATCCAGCACAGGTGCTGAGTTAAAATCTGTATACACCTAATGAACACCATTTGCTCTTACCTGGTGACTCACTGAAAACCTGCCTCATACAACTTGAATACTTCCAGAAGCTCTTTAAGAGGCTAAACCTAATGGGCAGCCAGCAAATAGTGATGGATCCCTGGGTGCTTTGGTGCTTTTGTTGACCTGCCCAGGTCCAGTATGGGTGACAGAAAGTCTTAGTGCATACCTTGGCCCATCCCATGAGAACCCAGTCCCAGCACAGGCAGCTACCTACCATCCAGGGATTGCCTTGTAGCTCCTAAAAGGTAGCCCTAAGGTCACAAGCAGCGTCTGACATTGATGTGCACCAGAGTCCCTCCCAAGAGGCCCAGAACCAGCATACCCAGTTGGCTTCATACTACATCAGAACATAAACTGATTAGCTCCACAGGTGGCACACCCAAAGGGAGGTCTTGGCAGGCACAAGACTATGCCA